TTACTGCCCTTGCCCTCCACTCTTAGCAGAGAATGTTGGCCCTGAATTCTCACAATATTACTTTTAAGAGATTCCCACTTTCCAAATGTAGACTTACCTGCTCCTAGTCTATGTTTGCCAGAGCCTGTCTAATGATTGTGAAGTCAGCCTTCCCCCAATTTAGACACTTCAATTCTGCAATATTGTTATCCCTTTCCATAATGGTCACAATCCCAAAAATGCTTGTCCACTGAAACATCATCCATTTGACTGGCTTCATTTCCTACGATTAGGTCTAGCATTGCCCCATGTCTAGAACTATCTACATACTGGCAAAGAAAACCTTCCTGGATGCACTTTAAAACTCCACCCCAACTAATCCTTTCACACCAAGGTGATCCCAGTTAATGTTAGCAAACTTGAAGTCACTTGCAACTATAACTCTGTTTCTCTCACATCTTTCTGTGAATTGCCTACATATCTGCTCCTCTATCTACCTCTAACTGTTGGGAGGCCTGTAGTATAATCCCAATAAGGTAATCACTCCATTTTTCCAAACTCTACCCAGATGGCTTCATTCAAAGGCCCTTCTAGGACATTCTCCCTCAATACTGCAGTGAAGAATTTATTTATCAATAATGCAATGCCCCCACCTCTCTTACTTCCTAAACCTCCTCTCACCCCTACCATCACACCAGAAACTACTATACCTTGGAATGTTAAGCTGTCAGTCCTGTCCTGTCCTTCAGTCCTTCGTTGGACTGTTAATCCAAAGACAGTGTTCTGGGACCCAGGTTCAAATCCAGGCACAGCATATGTTGGAATTTGAATTAAATAAAATATCTGGAATTAAGAATCTAATGATGACCTTGAATCCCTTGTCAGATTATGGTTCACTAATGTCCTCTAGGGATGGAAACTGCCATCCTTGCCTGGTCTGGCCTGCATGTGACTCCAGACTCACAACAAAGTGGTTGACTCTGAACTGCCCTCAGGGCAATTAGGGATGGGCAATAAATGCTGGCTTGGCTAGCGATGCCCTCATCCCCTGAATGAACTTTTAAAAATCCCAGTAGCATGAGCAGATCCCCCAGCAAGGATATTGAATGCAGTCTGGTTCAGGTGCAACCCGTCCAGCTACCTACCTACCCACGCTAGAAGCTGTCCCGATGATCCAAAAATCTAAAGCCCTCGTCTTACACCATCCTTGTTGCCATGTGTTCATCTGATCTGTCTTCCTACTCCTGTACTCAGTACTGGAAGTCATCTGGAGATTGCAACCTTTATAGTCTTCCTCTGTTTCTACTACCTAACTCTCAAATTTCCTACTGTGGAACCTCATTTCTCTTTTTACCCATGTCATTGCTACCAACATTTACCACGACTGCTGACTGTTCTGTCTCCTTCTTCAGAATGCCCTGCAACTGCTCTGAGATGTTCGCGACCCTGGCACCAGGGAGACAGCAGACCATTCGACAGCCTAGTTTGCTGCCACAGAACCAGCTGTCAGTTCCACTCACAATCGAGTTTCTTACATCGAGAGCTATACCAGCCTTCTTCCTCCCCTGCTGTGCAGCAGAGCCAACTGTGGCTCCACCAATTTGGTGTTGCTGTTTTTTCCTTGAGTAGCCATTCCACCTCCCTGTCAAAAACAAACTATATCAAAAATGATACATCACTTTGAGAGGAGAATGGCTACAGTGAACTCCTGCACTGCCTGCCAACACTTACTAGTTTCCTGGTGGTCACCCAACACTTTTCTGTCTGTGCAGTCTTCACTTGTGGTGTGAACAGCTTGCTAAATGTGCTATCCATGAAGTTCTCAGCATCATGAATGCCCCATAGAGAGTCCATCTGCAGCTCTTGCCATTCCATGCGATCAGTCAGGACCTGCAGCTAAACACACAGTCATCATGGATACTGGAAGTGTTCCTGATTTCATGCAAATTGCAGGATAAGCATTTCTTGAGGCAGAGTTTTCCTGCCATTGTGAAACTTATCAACTACAGACAATTGACTGAATCAATTACTCAACCTTATCCACCACTCACCAAAACAGATTTTTGTCTGTGACTCTGTTGTCTCTCTATTCCTAACAAACGACAAACAACAAGGACTTCACACTCTGTCTCAATCCTGTTACTACTCACTCAGTCTCTAAAGCTGTTTCCTAAGCAGGTAATCTATTTGCCTTACCTCACTTCTTGAACTGTGATGCCACCTCAGGAATTGTGACTCCACATTCAGTGAAGGATTCACCTGCTCTGCTCTTCTCCCACTGTTGTTCCAATTGAGCTCAATCTGGGTCCCGCTCCTCATGTTTTTTTTATTTGGATCTTCAGCTACCACTGTTCACATCCAGGTTCGCTTCTCTTCCACTGCTGTTCTAACTGCACTCTAAGAAGCATCTGAGTACTTAAGATGCTGGGGCATTCTAGTCTATGGGCCAGGTGCAGGTAAATGGAATTAATGTTATGTGTTGTGTGTAGTGTGGTGCTGTTTGTTGGTCAGCATTGACCTGGTGGCCTGAAGGCCTGGGTCAATACTGTATGACTCTGTGATTTTCCAGCTGTTCCAAGTGATTCTTCCAAGTGTCACTTGAAGAGAGAGATATCGCACAGTTAGGGACTCTGGCTATTACTTGACATCGCCATCCAAGCAGCTTGTTCGCCTTGCAGTTGCAACATGGTTGCTGCTGAAGCCAGTGTCTTTGTTTCGCTGAGTGTTCTTTTTTAAAAAAAAGGTTTTATATTGTAAATTGGTATTTGGATACCATAATGTCTAGCAGAGGGCAGTTTAATTTTTTTGATTATTCACTCATGAAATGTGGACATTGCTGGTGAGGCCACCATTGATTGTTCATCTCTATTTGTCCATTAGAAGGTGGTGGTGAGCTGCCTTCTTGAGCCGCAGCAATCTTTTTCCTAAAATGTAGAAAATGACTTGAGTGGTTAACACCAAGTATTTAAAATTTCAAGTCATTAGCCCATTGAGTCAGTTTGTCCAGACATTTTTCTGAAATTTAGAACTTGAATTTTAATAATGCCCAATATCTCCATTTAAAATACAAATGTATGGTGAATTAAAAATCAACATCAAAAAGGCTAACTAAGCTTATTTTCAGGGAGATGCATTCCTTTTATATATCTTCTTAAAATAAAAGCTATTCAAAATAAGAACCAAATTGCTTTTGTACCTTTTTCTTCAACTTTGAAATGAAATGAAACTCTTTCCCTTCAATGTTCATCTCTTTCCCCGGTCTTCCTGCATCAGAAGAAGACAGTGATCTATTAGTTTACTTTACTTTTAGAGAATGGTTGTCTACCCAATGTCAATCACTTGTTTGAATAGTTCAGGCTACAATTGCAGTGCAGGTACCCAATCAGTCAGGGTGAGTCATCTTCCCCTTATCCATCTTCCATCAGTTTGAGGTAATCTTTTAGTTTATTCCAAGCTTGGAGCAATTTGTTAGCTTTTACCTTTTGTATAGATAGGACAGTATCTTGAAACTGCTTTCAAGTTAGAAAATCAACATTCTAGAGTGAGCTCCAAAACCTTGACCTACTTAGAGATTGTTTACGTGATTTTCTAGAGAGAAGGGAAACTGCTCTTCTGAAAGGTAGCCTCATGCTATGCCTACTAATGCCACAAACATTCTGTAATATTTGAAGAATACTACCACTTGCCCTTTTTTTAAAAATCATAAATTCTTAGTGTGCAAGTAGGCAATTCAGCCAATCAAGCCATACTGACCCTCCAAAGAGCATCCCAGCAAGATCCACCCTCCTTATTCTATCCCTGTAACCCTGCATTTCCCATCACTAATCCACCTGGCCTGCACATCCCTGAATACTATGGCAATCTACCATGGCCAATCTACCTAACTGGCATATCTTTGGACTGTAGGAGGAAACCCACACAGAACCGGGAAGAATGTGCAAACAATCACTCAAGGGTGGAATCGAACTTGGGTCGCTGGCACTTTAAGGTAGCAGTGCTAACTACTGAGGCACCATGTGAGAATGACTTATTTGTGGCGTTTGAAGTGTAGTAAAATGGACTTTGGAGAAGGAAGTGAATGACAGTGAGCAGCAAGGATTTCAGACTGCCAACAATCTAGGGATCAACAGAATAGTTGTGATCAAGGCAATACCATCCATTTACAGAATCTAAGGACAGAGGCAGAGCTTTCTTAACCTTTTGGAGGAGTAGTGTTTCTGAAACTGAGATGTTATCTCGGGTGGCTTCAGACATCTCTACTCTCTTAGATGTAATGTTTGCTGGACCTCATGGTCATGTGTTAACAGTGGTAATGAAAGGCACTATTGCTTGCAATTACTTCTGATTCCTTCCAGGGCACAGCCAGAAACATTATGGGGTCTTCACAGTTAGTTGTACATAAAATCGTTGGACTGTTAATCCTGAGACCCAAGTAATGTTCTGGGGACCAGGGTTCAAATCCCACTATGGTAGATGGTAGAATTTGAATTCAGTGAAAACTGGAATTAAGAGTCTAACAATGACGAAGAATCTGTTATCAATTGTCAGAAAAACCTATCTGGTTCACAGACGTCGTTTAGGGAAAGAAATTTCCATCCTTACCTGCTCTGGACTATATGTGACTCCCGCAGCCACTGCAGTGTGATTGACTATTGATTGCTGTCTGGGCAATAAACTCTGGCCCAGCTAGTCATGTCCTCATCCCATGAATGAATCTTTTAAATAAGAGGCATAAAGCGCATAGTGGATGGATTACTTTCCAAAGCTGGACGTTAAGTAAACCTCTTAGTGTGGTGAAGTTTCCAATGTGGAGTGAAGCAGGGGGATAAATTGCCCTTGTTGGGGGAGATGAGTACTGTTGTGGAATGAGTGACAGATGAATTTTGTTGGAGTTGGGTGGGTTGAGACTGTGTAGTTTCTGATGTTGAAGACCATTTAACTCAAGATAGTTCTTAAAGAGTGTGGCTTTGCTGGAATTATACTCATCACTTGCCTCATGACTGTTCATTGCTGGATTTAAAATGGAGCCAGGACCAGAAGGTGCAATGACTCCAGTGTTGAGTGTAAATGAGCAGTTCAAATCACAATCAGCAGCTGATGCATCTTACTCCACCACTGGTCAGCAGATCTGGACTATTCATTTCATACAATGATTACCATTGAGTGAAGAATGAGAATGTTAGCAGATTTTTTCTAAAACACAAAACAATTCATTCTTTTCATGTCATATTTAAGCTGAAAATGAACTTATCTTGCGTTTCCATTTTGGAATTAACAAAATAAACAGATTTGATGGATTTCACTATGAGATGGTCTTGATTTGAAGGTTGGATCAACTTACTATTGTGGCATTTAGAGCTAATAAAATTAGTTATTAGCTTGGATAAAAGTATTGAATGTTCATATATAGTAGTTTTACACCTGTGTTGTTTTTGCATATTATCTTGCTTTTTCACTTTGCAGTAAAAAATACAGGAAATAAAATAATTGAACATGGCGACATTCTAGTTGACAATTCCAGAAGTGCTATGATGTGTAACAATTCACCAAGAAGCTGCTTATGGCCAAGTGCAAAAGATGGAAATGTTTACGTGCCGTATAAGCTCAGTTATGACTTCAGTAAGCAACTTTGATTAATATTTGTTCCTGATGATAAGCAAACATGACAACTATAGAAGCCTATTGTGGATCTTAGAGCATTCATGTTTTTTAATCTTATGAAGAAAGACACAAAAGGTTTTTATCAAAATTCAGTTAAGCCAATGGGTACCTGAACTATACAGATTGAATAAGCTCCCGGCTTTGAACCCTGCCCTGTAGATAATTGCACGTGGAATAATGATAATATATGTACGCATTCCTTTCGTATCCCTGATTCTATTTGACATGCTTTCATGGGATCATTGTATCAACGACAAGGCTGACATTTATTGCTCATCCCCCAATAGCCATTAAAAAGTGAGCCACCATCTTGACCTGCTGAAGTTCATGTGGTTCTGGTACACCCACATTAGGAAGGGAATGTTTGGTCTAGTGATTGTAAAATATTACCAATATAGTTCTAAGTCATCTGGATTGGATGGAAAATTGTAGCAGCTGGTAATCTCATTCTTCTGCTGTCCATGTTCTTCTCAGTGGTAGATGTTGTGGGTTTGGAAGGTGCTGCTGAAGGAGGCTTAATGAGCAACGGCAATGCAACTTGTGGTTAGCATGCTTTGCTGAAATTGTCTGCCTGTGGTGGAGGCAGTGAATGTTTAAGGCAGTGGATAGGATGCCAGTTAAATAGGCTGCTTTGTCATGGACGTGTTTAAACATCCTGAGTGTTTTTAGGGTAGCACTTGTCCAGGCAAGTGGAGATTATTCCTTCACAGTCCTGACTTGTGCCTTGTTAATGGTGGAAAAGTTATTGGGGTTTAGAATGTGAATTATTGGTTGCAGAATTCACTGCCTCCGACCTGGTTTTGTAGCCACAGTATATAATAATATCATTGAATGCCTAGGGAAGATGGTTGAATTTCTCTTGTTGGACATGGTCTTTGCCTGGCTCTTATATGGTAGAAATGTTACTTGCCTCAGCTTGAAGGTTGTCTTGATCTTGCTGCATATTGACACTTACAGTCAGACTTAGGGTGAGGTTTCCCAAGTTGTTATGGTTCCAGATGGGTACCCCAAGTCCTTAAGTGCTCGGATGAGGCAGGAGAAACTGGCTCCCATTTATTCACTCACCTATCCCTTTCGCAACAATGCTAGTTTAAGAAGGATCTTTCCCTTATGTATGCAATTTAGTTACATTCTTTTGTCGTGTTTCTTTTGTGGTGGTTAGTTGGCTGATAGTAGTCAGAGCAAGGGAGTTGTTCTTGCCTTGTTCCTTCTGACTGACTTGCTGGCTAGTTGCCCTTCAGCACTTAGTTTGAGAGAATCCTTTCTCCTGCCATGCAGGGGTTACTAGTGGATGGTTCATCATCTATGATCTTCACAGCACATTCGTGCTTGAACTGCACGCAAACCTCAGTTCATTAGCACATCTTCTCCCAGTGGCACACTATTCTACTAGCTTACACACGAGGGGGTTGCAGTCAGTTTTTAACCCTTTGTCTTTTTTTGTGGAAGGGCAAAGAAAACAAAATTCTTCAAGTGGTGGCTTACTGCTGACAGGGAAGGGATAGTCAACACTCTGTTCTTGTTAGCCCCACCACCCCTTCACCGTATTTCTATTTGAAGTTTTTATGATGCTGCACAGGTATTACATTCCGTGAGTCCCATGCAGAACTTTGCCAGACGGCAATGAATTTACACCCACAATCCTCTTTTCAAACAAAAAAATTAGGAATTAAGGATTGAAAATGTCTATAGTACTTTGGAGTCCAGCACCATTGTCATAAGCGCACAGATTGCTTCAGTATCTGAGGAGTCACAAATAGTATGAGCATTGTGTAATCAATACGCATTTTGCTTTTGACTTTATGTTGAGAGGGTGGCACATTGAAGCAGCTGAAAATAATTGAGCCTCGGGCCAGGAGATCCAGTTCAACTCCCATCTGCCCCAGAGGTGAGTAATAACTTGTTTGAACAGAAAATACCCACACATCAGCACCCTGGACCTCCTCCAATGGTCCCCAGTATTACAGATAACAGTCTTCAACCATTTTGCTTCATTCCATGTAACATCAAGAAACAGTTGGAGACACTGGATACTGCAAAGGCTATGGGCCCTGACAGTATTCTGGCAATAGTACTGAAGGCTTGTGCTCCAACCTGCCACTCCCCAGGCCAAGCTGTTCTCGTACAGTTACAACACTCGCATCTACCGGACAATGTGGAAAATTGCTCCGGTATGTCCTGTACATAAAAAGCAAGACAAATCCAACCCAGCCAATTACTGCCCTACCAATCTATTCTTGATCATCAGTAAAGGAATGGAACGTGTCATCAACAGCACTATGAAGCAACATGTGCTCAGCAATGAACTGCTCAGTACCACCCAGTTTAGGTTCTGCCAGGGCCATTTAGCTCCTGACCTCATTACAACCTTGGTTCAAACTTGGACAAAAGCGCTGAATTCCAGAGGTAAGGTGAAAATGACATCAAGGCTGCATTTGACCGAGTGTGGCATCAAGGAGCCCTAGCAAAACGAATCCATGGATATCAGGGGCAAACTCTCCAGTGGTTGGAGTCATACCTGATATGAAGGAAGATGTGGTTGTTGGAGGTCAGTTATCTCGGCTCTAGGACATCTCTGCAGCAGTCCCTCAGGGTAGTGTCCTAGGCCCAACTGTCTTCAGTTGCTTCATCAATAAGCTTCCTTTGATCATAAGATCAGAAGTGGGGATGTTTGCCAACGATTGCGCAATGTTCAGCATCATTTGCAACTTCTCAGATACTGAAACAGTCCATGTTCAAATGCAACAAGATCTGGATAATACCCAGGCTTGGGCTGACAAGTGGCAGGTAACATTCACATGACACAAATGCCAGGCTATGACCATCACCATTAAATACCCAGTATTATTGTTCTGGAGTTATCATTGACCAGAAGCTCAGCTAGACTCACCACATAAACACAGTGGCTACAAGAGCAGGTCAGACGTTAGAAATACTGCGACAACTAACTCACCTCCAGACTCACCAAGGCCTATCCACCATCTAAAAAGCACAAGTCAGGGGTGTGATGGAATACTCCCCACTTGCCTGGATGAGTGCAGTCCCAACAATATTCAAGAAGCTTGACACCATCCGGGACAAAGCATGCCATTTGATTGGCACTGCGTCCACTCCTACCACCGACACTCAGTAGCAGCAGTATGTACTATCTACAAGATACACTGCAGAAATTCACCAAAGATCTTCAGACAGATTCTTCCAAATCCACAACCACTTCCAGTTAGAAGGACAAGGGCAGCAGATACGTGGGAACACCACCACCTTCAAGTTTCCTTCCAAGCTACTCACCATCCTGACTTGGAAATATATTACTGTTCCTTCATTGTTGCTGGATCAAAATCCTGAAATTCCATCCCTAATGGCATTGTGGGTCAACCCACAGTAGATGGACTGCAGTGGATCAAGAGGCAGCTCACCACCTCCTTCTCAAGGGCAGCTCGGGATGGGTAATAAATGCTGGGCATCCAGCAATGCCCACATCCCACAAATTAATAAATTTAAAAAGAAGATAATAGACCTTTAACAACCCAGCTATCTTTTGCATTGCAAATCATGCTAAATCACTTTCATCGATTCCCATTATCTTCAGATTTACCTGGGCTCCTTTAATGCCTTGATGGTCAAATGCTGCCTTGATGTCAGGAGCAATCATTCTCACCTCCTGAGTTCAGCTTTTCTTTTCCCCCATGTTTCAATCAAGGTTGCAATAAGGTCAGGATCTGACAGGCCCTGATAGAACCCAAACAGTGTCAGTGAGCCATTTATTGCATTTGTAACAACACTGCCTGTCACTTTGCTGATAATTGAGAATTGACTGAAGGGTGGTCATTAGAATCTGCTTTGTGTAGAAAAGGCGTACTTGGGCAATATTCCACATTTTCGTGTACATGCCAGAGTTGTAAAGGTGTGCAACTAGTTCTAAAGTACGTCTTCAGCTTTGTTGCAATTTTTAAAAAATTAACTTTAATTTTAATATTTTAACTGTAAGAAACCTACAGTTCCTTTTTTTTCCTTCTGTGGTAATATTTCAGTTAATCAGTGTCAATTTGCCAGCTATTCAAAACCTTTTCCTCCTGTTTTATAAATTGTCATGGTCACTTGAAATTTGGCAATCTTACATTTGTCCTGATGAGCACAAGACAAACTGCTTCCACTATATGCCTTTCTTTCACAGTGGTTCAAGACCTTCCAATGTCTATTCTATGTGTACTTAGAACATAAGAAATAGGAGCAAGAGTAGGCCATTCAGCTCCTCAAACCCACCCCACTATAAATTCAGTCTAATCTGTTCCTGGCCTGAATTCTTTCATGCCCGTTCCTCTCAGACCTTGACTCCTCAATATTTTGAAAGTCTATCTCTTTTTTTTATTTAACCTATTTTTTCCTAATCAACCTGTTCAAAGATGCTATAATATCTGGAGTAGATAGGACTTGAACCAGGGCTCCCAGTCCTGAGATAGGGACACTGGCTCTATTTTCTCTTTCAGTATTCTGATCTAACCTCCACAACTGTGGGAGTAGACTGTTTTAGATATTCACTACCTGCAAGGAGAAGAAATTCCTTCGTATCTAGGTTTTAAATGAGTGCCCCTTATTCTGTAACTGTTTCCCCTAGTTTGAGAATGCTCTGCTAATAGAAATATCTCAACATCTATCCTGTCAAACCCCATTCAGTAAAATCACCCCTCATTTTTCCAAACACTACTGAATAAAGGCATAACCTGTTTAGTTGATCTTGCCACGTCAAACCTTTCATCCCAGGAATCCTTCCAGTGAATCTCTTTCAGACTATCTCCAATGCCAGCTTATCATTTCTTAAATATGGGCATGAAAACTGTACACAGTTGTACCTGTATGCTTCCCTCTATGCTGGACCTTTTTTGGAGTCTCTCTCCAGTTAAGTAATAGTCTGCCTTTTGATTCTCTCCACCAAAGTGCATGACCTCACACTTTCCTAT